AGCATCGCTGACGAGTCCCAAAGCGCTCAAACTGCGTAACTGCGGCGGAATTTATGAGCAGTGATGTCATTCCCATAAAGCATTGTGTCGATTTCACTCTCGCACGAGTAAATCAGCACAGCGTCAGCCAATGGACAGCCTCCGCTATCTCTGAGTATGTTTCAGTTCTTACCAGAGACACAATAAAACACACTCCGGCGGCATTTACAAGGACAGGAAACCGGAAAACACGTCATGCTAAGATTAGACCCAACTATTACACTAAACACACACACACACACACACACACACACAGGTTTGTTTTTGTGAAAAGTGGGGACTCTCCATAGGCGTAATGGTTTTTATACTGTACAGACCGTATATTCTATTGCCCTACACCAACCCTACCCCTAAACCTACCCCTCACAGGAGACTTTCTGCTATTTCAGATTTTCAATACACTCCATTCTGTGTGATTTATAAGCGTTTTGAAAAGTGGGGACATGGGGTAATGTCCTGAAAAGTCACCTTCTCCTTGTAATACCTAATATCATCATATGCTCATACTCATATGAAAGTCATGCCTGATATGATAAACTAGCTGGTTTTGTAACATATGCCAGTCAAAAGTTTGGACACATTTGAATTTTTAAGTTTTGCATCGTCTTAAAAAGCTTTTGATTTAAAGGCCTCAGCTGAGATGTGTAAAATCAGTTCTGCACACAAATATAAACCATGTCTACATATAAAAGAAGTATTAAAATGAATAAGTTGTAGGGCCCTTTGAAACCCATTTCATTTTTCCACAAAAAATTTGCGGTTTCCAGTTTTGTGTGTGTGTGTTTTTTAATGTTTTTTCTTTTCTTTCTGGATTTAATTTTATTAATCAAAAAGCATGTATAACCAATTGAAATCATAAAACATATACAATAAAAACAACATCTTTAGAGTCCTACAAAATTCAGTTTTATTATTTCCCAAACTCCATGTTAATTTTCCCAAATTCTATGCTTTTTCTGGATTCCATTTAAATGGTTTAAATTAAATTCCAAAAATTCTAAAAAGCATTAATTAAATTCTAACATTATAAAAAGCATTTCTAATCAAATGAACTTTAACAATTTAATAGTATACTACAATTTTATCAATAATAGTGGGCTTTCATTTATTTTATTTTTTTTCAGAAATCTGTGTTGTCTGTTTACATTTTTTCTGGATTTATGATTTAATGCAAATGTATTATTAAAAACAGAATATGAAAATATAACTTTTTTTTGGCAAACAAAGTGCTGCACAACAGATGTTTACTGTTAAAATAAAAATAGGGAACAACAACTGTGATTATTCCTTATAAAAAGGTTTAATTATTTTATTATTCTTATTACAGAAATAAAGAACATATATTATTATTAATAATAATAATATATTATATATAATATTATATTATATATGTGTGTGTGAGAGAGTGTGTGTGTGTGTGTGTGTGTGTGAGAGGGTGTGTGTGTGTGTGTCTGTGTGTGAGAGAGTGTGTGTCTGTGAGTGAGAGTGTGTGTGTGTCTGTGAGTGAGAGTGTGTGTGTGTGTGTGT